CCACGTATCGCCATTTTGTTCGCGTGCGCATTGTTGGCGTACCAGTGCCGATAATCTCGCGGCACGACGAACGTCGGAGTGTGGATCGTGCCAGGAGCCGTCGACGAAAGGTAAATATCCCGTCTCCATCGTTTCGCCGAGCACCGCGAGACGTGCGTGCGTGACATCGGTGATCTTTGTCTCGTCTTCTCTTCGTACATACATATATACGTACGATATACATATTCGAGCCCGTACAAAACGGTAGGACGGGAAGACGTACGCGCCTTTCGGAAAGAATCGATCGCGTCTCGCCGTCTTTCCGCGCCTTACCGACCCCGCTGGAATTCGGAACGGTGAAGCGCGATGTGTAATGTTCCCGGAGGGGGGGGGTGACGTCACCGCCGTCGGCACCACCGTCGGGATGACCCGCGCGTCCCCCTCCTCGTCGAGAGAGGCCAGTCTCGCCGCTTTGATCCGCGTCCCGCGAGTCACTCCGTGCAACTCCGTGCGGTCGACGCGGTTCGCTCGCGTTCATCCGGCAGCAGGTTTCTCTCCTTTCCTTTCGATTTTTTTTTTTTCGTTTTCTTTCATCGGTTTTTTTCTTCTCTCTCCCTCTCTGTCTCTACCTTCCCCCCTCCTGGGGGGAATCGCACGTCCGGGGGACATGAGCAAAATAACGCGAGCGGTTGCTAGGTGTCACGGTCACGGATGGTGAGCCCGCGATAACCGGACGACCTGGCCTCTTCGCGAATCTTCCTTTCCGTGTGTTTTTTTTCCGCCAGGCGAAAACTCCACGGGAACTCGCCGTTCCTCTTCGTGAGTATCAACGAACCCTCTTTACCTCTCTTTCCTCCCCTGTTTTCTTCCCTGACGTTTTCCGCATAACCGCTGGAGAAAGTATGTGTCTACCTTGTTAAATATCAAAGGAGCGACGGTAACTCAATCCCTTGAATTAAATAACGTTTTGTTACTTTAAGCTTCCCGTGTGTGTCAAAATGTCAATCAATCCATTTCTGTGGTTAGTTTCAAAGTAAACAGCGTCCGTATTAATGTTGCACTTGGTAAATAATAAACTAAGACTAACTAGTTCCAGTCAGATTCGATACGTTTTCGTGAGTTAAATTTAACTGCATCGTTTCGGTTAAATTAACGAATCGAATAGTAGCGGCGACCTGTAGAAGTGATCCATAACTCAAATTGTGGGTGCAATTCGACATTGTGAATTGTACAGCGAGACGATTCATGCGATATATGGATTCGCGTGATTTCCACGTTTCCTTTTTCTTCCCCTTTTCGCGTGGCCGGAGAACGCTGAGGAACGAAGAAGGGTTAGGTTATCCGGCCGTCCCCGTCGGCGCGTTCGATAAAAATATTCGTGGATATCGATACGCGCGCGCGAAGGCCTCCCCCGTTCTCTTCGCCTCCACCCCGCGAGTGCATCCGAAACGAATTATTTATATAAAAAAAAAGGCGGAAAGGAGGAAAAGCCGGATGCGCGCTGTCGAAACGGTGACGTGAGTTTCTCGGGAATATACACAAAAAGAAATAAGAGAAAGAACCAATTAGTTAGATTTTATTGTACAGTTAAACGATTACGAATTTTTACACCGATGAGAATAAATGTAATTAAATAAGAGAAATCCTATTCGGTTAAAACAGATCTTATCCAAACAGAACCACAAGTCATTACATCAAAATGATATTAAAATAACTCCAAAATGATCGTTAAAAGACATTTTTCAATCATTTCCGATTTATTTTAATGTCATTTTGACGTTATCGTGACTTGTCGTTCTGCTTGGGTAATGCTTTCAATATTTCTGTGTAAATTTATATACATTTCTGTGTGTCGAAACCTTTTTTCAGTCTTGAAATGTATTCATGAGAAGAACCAGAGTAGTAATATTACTTATTAAATTAACAAGCAATTTAATAATTTTTAATGCTAATAAGCATCTTTATAAGGCCAATATTCATAGTCAATTCTTATATTTAAGAGTGTGCTTAAGAAACAGTAAATCTCAAATATAAGACATTAAGACAGTTTTATAATAAGAGAATGAATTATGAATACCAACCTGAGAGTATTAATAATTAGATATTTAAGCGAATAATAAATCTGCGAAAAATAGCCTCACGGATTTGAACCCGAATCTCCCGGATTTATGTAATTATCATAATCAGATGCGTAAGAGAGAAGGAAAGGAGGAAATTGCAAACGAAAGATTCAGACGGTCACGTCAACACAACGCCACGTGTCGTGCATAAAAAATAAAATGATCTATAGACATTGTACTCTGAGAGAAAATAACGATAGCGATTACCATAATTTAATATTGAAAAGCAGTCGCGACCTATAAAAATAATTAAAAATAACTGAAATTCGATATTATGCTTTAACATGGCTCTGTGATTGATATTTATGACATTTTAAAATTTATACTTGTGACATTTTAAAATTGATGACATTTTTTTTTACTTATGATGACATTTTTAAATTGTATTTAAAACGGTCTCAAACATAAAAACCGACTATGAATACCGATCTCAGTATAGATTCTGCTTTCTAAATATCCGATATTCATAGACCGTATTTATAGCCACTTCTTATTATTTAAGACATAAGACCGTCTTAAGTACAGTCTTAAAACGTCATAAGTTAATCGCAGAGTCGTATTAGCATCTTAAGACATTACTTGAGACAGTCTTAAAATAAGAACTTACTAATTGGAAAAAGAGTCTGCTTGTATTAATTAGAATTCGAGTTAAAAATAGAGAATAAATCAGAATTTTCTAATTGAATTTATTATAATTCTAATTAAGAAAGATAATCAGAATTCTGATTGATATGATCAGAATTTTCTGCTTTATTTTCAACTAGAACTTCTTTTCAGTGTATAAATCAACTATAGTTTTTATATTTATTGTTCCTTATAGTTTTTATATTTAAGATCGTCTCTTAAATATAGTCTTAAGTCATGATAAATCGATTTCATAATCATATTGGCATTACTTAAGATGATCTTGAAATAAGATCGGACGAGTATCTAGATTTTTCTTTTGTAGCGAAGAATCTCCAAAAAGAAGAAAAACAAAAATATATATAGCTTTTAGTTTTTATGGAAAAGTAACGTTAAGTAATATCAAATAATGTGCCTCGGGGGTTCGTGATGGTGAATCGTGCAACGAATCGCCCATTCTTTCCCATCGTGCCGTCCGATTTCTGCGACGATCTGCACCGTTCGGGCTTCTCGAGGTCGAAAGCCGGATGATCACGCGGTTTTTCGATTCTCATTACGCAATGTGGGTACACGAGTAATTTCACCAAAGTTGACTTGAAACAATAACGACGACGATGATGGCCAAAAATTTTCATAGTTTCTGCGCACTATTAATACACCCTTTCCGAGATCGCGGGAAGAGATATAAAAAGAAAACGGAGAGAGGTGTACACGCGGGAGAAATGCGTGCCGTAAAGTTATTTATGTATCACAGGCCGGCGCATAACGCTGGACCGCGGTACTTACAAATTTTAATACGATATTGTACAGTTCGCGATTTTGGAGGAGACAGGACTTATGTGTACATTCGTCGGCTTCGTTGGCTTTTTAGTATCCATTTCTGCCAATATAGATTGACTTATTACTTAAATTATTAACTGTAATCTATTAATTAATGTAAACTATTTATTTATTAATTTTAATCTTGATTTAATTTATTCTATTATCTTTTCCTAGTTAAATTTTAATACAATTTTGTATGTACAGCTCGCGATTTTGGGAGAGAGATGGGACGGACATTCGTCAGCTTCGTTGGATTTTTAATATCCATTTCTGCCAATATAGATCAACCTATTACTAAATTATTAACTTTAATCTATTAATTAATATAAGTTTAGGCCCGGAGTTCCATCAATGTAAGACTAACTTTAATCTCGGTTTAACTTACAGTTTATCTTTTCCTAGTTCTTAAAATTGGAAAAAGTTGAAGAGTAAACTGAACCGAGATTAAAGTTACGTTGGTGGAACCAGACCTTTTTTATTCACTTCAATTTTGGTTTCACTTACTCCTTATCTTTTCCTAGTTTTAGAATTAAAAGGATATAAAATTAAACCAAGATTGAAGTTAATCTCTATCGATATTAGAATTGGAGAGACAGAAAAAGATGGATATCTACTTCTACAAATGTAAATTAACTTTAATCTTGATTTAATTTACTCTTTCTATAATTCTTAGAACAAAGAAAAGAGTAAGTTCAACTGGATTAAAGTTAATCTATCTTGATAGGAACGAGCAAGAGTAAGCTGAACCGAGGCTAAGGTTAATCCACATTGATAGAAATGGACGTAAGACGGCCGACGTATATCGATTTGCACCGCATGCTCTTTCTTTCCATCTATATCTTCCTCTGCCTATGCCGCAGAGAAAAGGGGGAAGAGGAAGTGGAGCGTTCCCGTTCGTCTGTACCCGACGTAGAGATATACGCGAGCGAATATTTTTCCATTTCGTTTATGCCCTCGACGTGCAGGATGGGATATCGATTAGACGCTTTTACATAGTTGTACGCTATCTCGATGAAACTTTAAGGTCGTCGGTACGCACGCACATAGACGCACACGCGAAGTTATCATCCTATAAAATGCGGATCGAACAGTCTTGGGCGTTATCGTATGGAAAAAAAAAATGTAATGTATTGTCAGCTTTAGCCGACAGCACTCTAATTAAAGATAATCTTAATTCAACGATAACTTAAGTAATAAAATAAATACGTCATGCTCTTGTTTTATTAAAATTGCAAAGTTGTTATCAGTCAGAGAAAATCGAAAAGGTTTTAATCGGAATTAAAAGATAATCGGAGAAAACCGGAAAAAGTCCGGGAATTCTTTTTCTCTTTCGCTAATAATTCTGTTAAAAGAACAGAAAAGACTTGATAAAACAAAACAGAAAGGGATTGTTTGAGAAAAGGAATTAAAAAGAAAGACATTGCAAATTATGTCTGACAGATTCAAGACATGGAAAAATAATCAGGAAATTTTTTTCTGTTCTGTTAAAAACCCTGCAGATATTATTTGCTTCATTAATTTAGTTTGATTTAGTACGTACAGTTTTTATATGAAAAGTTACATGAAAATAAAAATGTAAAAACGCGAATGATGAGACGTTAGCGTGACTGCTTTATGTTATAACGCCTGCCAGATATTTTATGTGAAACGTAAGGAAGAGGGGAAAAAGGAAATAAACGCGTATAACACAATTGTTACACAGGATAGTTTTCATTTGGTGACACAAGTCAAGTATTGTTCTATTTTTATTATTCTTTAAATGTCAAGAAAGATAGAAAGATGTTTATGTTGACTCGTGTCACTAAATGGAAAACACCCACACATTTATACATAAGTATACACGCATTAATACTGTTATTATAGATAAACAGAAGTAGTTTTGATTAGAGACTGCTGTTAGCTAATGCTATACATTATTTTTTTTTCCGTGCATGAGTGCAAGGCTATCTTTTCCCTTTTTACAAAACGTCGAACCTTGGACGATACTCGGTGTGTTTGTGCAATGATTGCGTGTTTTCTCGACACCTGCTGTGAATTTAGAGCTAAATCCTTGAGGTACACGAAAGAACGTGTCTAAATACGAAAGTACACGTCCGGCGGACGTGATCAGGCCACTTTTTCTCAGCCTCTCCGGTTAAACGCTGGTAAACGTGGACGTGTCCGGCGATGGATTGCCGTTGAAATTAATTAATAACGCGCCGACGCACATCGTGCCGAGTTATGTCACGACCCGTGCATCGCGTCTTACGTAAGCTAATTGAATTGTAATCCATCCGAGTCACGGAATTCGCTGGCGAGCGCGCGTCATCGTTCCCCTCTTATTATATATATCGCTGCTCACCCTTCATTAATATCCCGCTAATCTTCGGATGGCATAATCGGGAGAAGAAGGGCGTGTCTGTTCGAATAATACGGATTTCGTTGCCGAGTACGTTAACGCGATTTCCGTAATTGTTGTTTTAGTCATCCAAAGGACATTAATTTTATGAGGCCCAACTGTTTATCATCTGCTAATGACAGATCTAAACGATAATTGTATCTGACAAAAGAAACATCTTTAAAATCTAATATACCTCAAAATTCAGCTAGATCTGAAAATAATTATGTTGGATCATAAAAATAATTAAAATAATTTTAACGGTTAAATTGGTTGCTAGAATGTTAAAATTTTTTGCAGCATTATCGTCGTACTTGGTGTATCCTACATAATTATTTTAACGATTCAATATAATTGAAGGACTTCTGGACTTGTGCTGCAATAGTCGGTTGCAATAACTCGCGTTTTGCAAAATCGGAGTAAATGAACTCTAAAGTGAAAATGATGGAAAAAATATATAGTTGGAAAATTTCTGTTAAAAATACATTTCGCGTGTCCTAAGTGATCGCACTCAAATTTTTGTGTTAATTTTACACAAGACGTATACGTTAGAAGGTAAGATAAATATTATGTAAAAAAATTAACACAAAAAATGTAATATTGACACAATTTGTAAGCAAATTGTGGAAGCATATTTTTTCAGGTAATATGTCAAATTAACACGTGTTTTACTCATTTATCTTGGGATTTTCGTTTTAAAATACATAATTTTTATGTTTTTTTTTTCATTTATTCATAAATTGTTATTTTAACACTAAGAAATGTTGAATATTAATTTAACATAAAATTTTAACAACGACTTGTGAGTGGACCGGTTTTAACACAAATACAAAATGTTTTTTACTGTGCACCAATAAATTCATGATGTATTTTTTCCATCATTTTAACTTTAGAATCCATTTATTCCGTTTTTATAAAATATAAGTTAGCCTACTATTTATAGGGCAGCAAGCTCTATAATTATTTTCAGATCTGTATCAAACTAAATTTTTAGATAAAACCGTTCTTTCCGCGTGTGTTTGCAGTATCCATCATATTATCTTTCTTCCAGTCCATGTCTTTTCTTCACCTCGGTTCCGGATTCCTTCCTCAACAGTAATTGGCGACCATCCTGCACGAGTATTCCCCCCCGCGAATATCCACGTCAATCTGCACGTGTCGCGACTCACCGCTTCGGGTCACGAAGCGGGCACGCGTTGGCGCTTCGTGTAACGAAATCCGAAACGACGCGGTTTATATTGGATATTCCGGCGTTCTAACTGCGCGTTCTAACTCACGGTCCGGCGGAAAAGCGGGACGACTGCCAAATCGTGGGAAAAAAAATCACCCCGGGCGTCAGATCCGCGTCCTATCGACTCCGTCGTTTGGCAGCATCGTGAACGCATCCGTCTCTTCCGTTTCCTCGCCTCCGCTATGAAGATTACTCACAACATGCGTGATAATCGATGAACCGCGACGAAACACAAATATTATTTCATGAAGAAACACGAAAAGAATGGTAAAGTATTTAAAAATTCGTCTAGAAAGATATCTGAAAATAATTTTGTTAAACCATCAAAATAATTATATAGAATTATGTATCCAAATAATTATATATGCTTAAACTTTGATAACAAATGCTGCAAAAAGTTTTAACATTCTATAACAATCAGTTTGAGCGTCCTATATAATTATTTTGATAGTCCAAACCAAATTATTTTTAGATATTTAGCAATTTAGCTACACGGAAAAAAAGCTATATTGAAACATCTAAAAATTTACAGTAAATATAAATTTGAAAATAATTTTGTTTGGACCATCAAAACAATTATTGCGGCATTGCTCATCTGCTTGAGTTTTCTACACAATTATTCCAAAATTATTTTCAGATGTGTAGTATCTAACTAAATTTTTAGATACTTTAATAAAACCGATCTTTTCGTGTACTGAGACATTGAATGAAATTTTCCTAACTTGCAAGGAAAGAACGTTTTGTTGAAATATCTAAAAATTTAGATACAAATTTGAAAATAATTTTGTAGAAATCTGAAGCAGGTGAGTAACTGCAAAAAATTTTAACATTCTAGTAACCATTTTAACGTCCTATATAATTATTTTGATAGTCTATTGAAATAATTTTTAGATTTGTATCTAGCTAAAAAAAATTTTAGATTCTTCAGCAAGACTATTTTTTCCCTGAGTGATTTACGTCCTCTCGTCAGCTGATACTGAGCGTATCGTTCGACAATGTGACACGATTTTGCTCTCGAATGGATCGTCGTATCTCTTTGCTGGATATAGTATAATCTCCGAAGAAATTCCGTAGAGAGAGAGAAAAGGAGGGCAAGGTGACGCGATATATCCGAGCGAGGTCATAGGTAAAGCGTGAATTAAGCTCGTCGCGTTGTACCGAGAACGATACTTGCTCGTTTTGCACATTTTACGTTTCGCGAACTCGCACAATTTTCAATCGCGACACGAAGGTCGACCGCGTTATATCACCGCACGAGGCAATTATCGATAATGGCACTCGTTGAAATTACTTCAACGCACCTATTATATGTGTACCGATTAATAATAAGTCTTCTGACCTGCGATACGAACACACAGATTCCAATAGTTATCAGATTCAAGTGATTCTCGCGAGAGGTGTCGGTACTCCGTTTCTCGAGTTGGATTTACTGACAAAAAGTCGATTTGACTTCCTGTAGTAGAGCTCGCGAGTGGGACATCCGCGGATGTCCGCGATTCTCCAACTACGAACGCCACACAAATACGTTTGATCAACGTCAAGAAATCTTTGTAGTAAAAACGAGAAAAATTTCAAGTATAAATCATTTCTTGTTTCATCGATTAGAGGATGCTTTTCAGCAAGAGACACAGATGACACAATATAACACAGTGAATCATAACATTCTTGTGTTTTGCCAATGTTAAATAAAGATGAAATAATCACTGTTACACTGTCACTCTTGCTGGAAAGTATTAAAAATAAATAGGTATTAAATATAAATACGTCGTAACACTAAGAGAAAAATAGTTACAATGTAACTATAATTTATAGTCTTTTTATAGACGCCAATTATATATTTTTGGTAAAACTATAAATATAATGATTATTATTAACATTATAGCAATAATAATTAGTAAACGGCTTCTAATTATATTATGCAATTATAATCAGGTACACTGAGAGAAAAGTTTTTATGATTATAATTTTTATGATTATGTTACCATAATTATGGTATAGTTTTATCAACAAATATAATATACAGGGTGTCCGGAAATTAGTGCATCATAGCGCTAATTTCCAGACACCCTGTATATTATTACTAACTTGTTACTATTAACAATAGTAGTCATAATTATGGCAACATGTAATTATAATCGCAGATATTAAAAACTTTTCTCTCAGTATATCTCTGTTTCATTTGTTGAAAGTTTCGAGAAAGGAACTTTGCGCGTCGCAATCAGAAGATCGCGATTTCCGGTCGTTCCGCGAGACCTGGGCTTGAGGAACCAGGAACGAGTTCCGCACGAAAGATCCCTCTCGAAGTCGCAAAGACTTAATTAACGTTGTTAATAAAACTCTTGTCTCCTTTCCTCTTGTACGCATATTCATTTACTTTTATATTTATTTTTTTTAGAGTGCGCGTGAGAATAGTGCAGTAAAATGAATTTCAGGAATTCGACGGAGAAGCTCGAGGAGATCAGCGAGCCGCAGTGCACAATGTCGTATCATCGCGGCGGGCAGGCGGGCGCCGTAGCGGTCTCATATAGCACCAGTCCAATGGCACCGCACTCGCCTAGCCGGAGGTACTCGAGTGGCACCAGCGGCGGTGGCACCACCACCTCTGCGCTCGGTAGCTCGACGTCCAAGTACAGCAGCTACCGTTCCACCGGCTCATCCTCGATCCTGGACCGACCCACCAGCTTCTACACATCGTCCTCGAATTCGGGCTTGCGCTCCAACTATATCTCTTCGGAGTACAGGAGGTCCTATTGCGCACCAGGAAGGTCAGTATCTCGTCAGTATTCCCTAGGGAATTGATAATGAGGAAGTATTGTCAGTGAATCCTCGAGAGTTTCATCAGCGATCGCCCTTGTGTATTGCGATTTATGTATGTTCATTTTTATTAATGTAAATTAATTTTGATTTTTATCTTTTTCTAATTCTAAAAATTGTAAAGGATAAAGAGTAAATTAATCTCAAATTGGAGTTAATCTACGTTGGTTTTTATTAATGTAAATTAACTTTTATTTTGGATTAACTTACTTTTTATCTTTCTCTAATTTAAAAAATTATAAAAAGGTAAAGTAACAGAGATTAAAATTAATCTACATTGGTTTTTATTTTCTATTAATGTAAATTAATTTTCATCTTGGATTAACTTTCTATTTTTTTCTATTTCTAAAAATTGTAAAAAGATCAAAATTAAAAAGAGATTGAAGAGTTAATCTACATTGGTTTCTATCATTGTAGAGTAGATTAACTTCTACTTGGTTTAATTTACTTTTTACCTTCTAGTTCTAAGAATTAAAAAATTACAAAAAGTACAGTAAATGGAGATTAAAATAATTAATGTACATTAGTATAAATGGACATCAAACGTGTAACTTCTTCGTAAAGCAACATATAACATGTAACATTTTATACAGAGTCAAATATGATGATCATGAAATTGAATAATTCACACTTTAATTTGAATTACAATATGGTTTAATTCTTGTTTTTCCTTTTATGTATAACTGAACATCCCATCACATTTTTTATGCTGATTGAAAAGAGAATATCTCATCGTTTAAAATCCCATCACATTTTTTATGTTGATTGAAAAGAGAATATCTCATCGTTTAATATCGATGTAATATTTATCGCGCGAGTTAACAACGCGTGAAGAAAATGGACACGGTTGAACGGCAGGTTCCGCCGAGTCGAGGAGCGTATCTTGTAATCACGTTAAACGATGGTTTTTTTTCCTTCCTATCTCGATCTACATGAAATCTGGCGATTAAAGTCTTCAATTAAATACGCAAGAAGTAAGATCGCGTGCTGTCGCAATTTTTTCCTCGGCTGACGGATCTTGCGATTGACTAGGTCTGAAACGATACAGTCGATATTTAAATAGGAAGGTGAAGTTTTCGGTATTGTCAAAAGACAAATAGAGTCAATGTACTCCCAAAATGTTGAATTAGAATTTGACAAGGTGTTTATATGTTCAATCCACCCCGCAGCTTCTACTCGTCGGCTTCTACCGGCACGAGCGTCCGCAGGAACTACTCGTCGGAGTACAGTCGATCCACCTGCTCACCCGCAAGGTGAGCGATCCTCGAAGTAGGATGTAGATTTTAGGAAGATAGCGAAACACAGTCGTCCCACGCACAGAGTCGAAAATTGAAATGTCTACACGGAAAAAACAATTTCGTTGAAATATATACTATAAAATGAGGTAACTAGCTCACAAAATCAGGTTAACTTTGATCCATATTTTGATAATGCTCAGTCAACACGCATATTAAAATCGAAAAATAAGACTTAAAAGTGTTTTCAAAACATTTTAAGACGTTTTTATATCCTGACGTGTTGTGTAGGTATTTTTAAATTCAGGTCAAAGTTATCCCAACTGGGCCAAAATTACCTCATTTTACAGCATCTAAAAATTTAACTAAATATCTAAAGATAATTTTATTGGACCATCAAAATAATTATATAGGACACTTGTTGCTAGAATGTTAAAATTTTTATCAGCATTGTTGTCATGCTCGAACGTCCTGTATAATTGTTTTGATGGTTCAACAAAAATATCTTTAGATCTGTATCTAGCTAAATTTTTAGAGACTCCAGCAAAAGCGTTCGTGTAGACATATAATGAGCACACTCCAGCAAGAGACAGATGACACAATGTAAAACAGTGAATCATTTATTCCGTTTTTAACATTGGCAAACAACAACATGAAATGATTCACTGTGTCACATTGTGTTAACTGTGTCTCTTGCTAGAAAGTGCCCAATATTAATCAATATCAAATCGCCCGTATCCTTGAGATAATTTCCTACAAATAATTTTATAAAGTGAAAATCATTTTACTTTTACTCCTTTAACATTTTCTACCTTCTCATGATATCGCACCTGATGTCGAATATCTACGTCTGAATTGAAAGTCTCGCGCGTCACTTACCTTGCCTTACCTTTATGTTCACGTCACTATAATTCAATTACAAAGGCAGACACGATATGTACATCCCCATTCGTATATGTGACCTAGGTAACTGGCATTAGTCCTACGTTAAAGGTCGAGGTCAGCATAAACTGGTTGCGCTAGGTCCGCTACCTGTTATTCCGGGTCAGATAACTTCGTCCCTATCTCGGTGTCGTTAATCAAAGCGTTGCTCTCCTCGTCGAGGCAACGCGAAGGAAACCTAGACATTATAAAGCACCATTGAAATTCTCGCGGCTGTGTTATGTCGAGAGAGCACGTAGCCGCATTTATCGATTTTAAATAAGCACACTCGTGCTGCGGAATGTAGTCGTGGACCTTGACCTCTTGAGATTATCCGGTCTGTGTATCTGCATGGTATTCGCGTTTCGGATACCTCTGTAGCACCAGATTTTTTTCTCTTCAAGTCCCAGAGATGCACTCCACCCTGGATCTTCACCCTGCGTTATTCCTCGAGAGAACATACTTGAATATCTAGTACGAGCGTGTCGGCGTTCCGAGGCTGTCTCTGCGAACGGTGTCGCGAATCTGATTTAGTGACCTCCAAACCTCGAAGTAGAAGTAGTTGCGCCCGGTTGCTGGCGGTAGAAACGCGCATATCTCAGTAGCATGCACGCGCGCGAGTCTCGCCGAAGAACGGCGTCTATACTCGCGCGCGTTGCATAACGTGATCTCGCGAGGTAGGGGAGCAAAGGACCTTGGCCAAAGGCCCGGTCCGGCGAAACGCGATGACCGCAATATTCTTATGTCGGACAAATTTTGCAGGTCAGTCTCGTCGTCGACGTACGGCGAAACGGGCAGCAGCAGCGGCGCCGCATTAACAACAACGATCGTTAACGGCACCAGCAGTAGTGGTGGTGGCAGATACATCTCACCTACGTCAAGCGCCTCGGTCAACTCGTCCACGACCTCGAGGGAACGCGGTAGCGTCGACGCGGCCGCCGCGGCCGCCGACATCATCAGCAGGTACTCGCCAGCCGGTTACGTGCCTAGTATTCAACGTCAACAGCAGACGAGCAGCGGCAACGCGCATCATTGGAGGCACCGTTCGACGTCATCGTCCTTGAACGAATTGTTCGGTGGGGACGAGCGCGAGGTCGAGCGCAAGGATCTTCGTCTGGAGTCCTCGCTCTCCTCGTCGTCATCCTCGTCGTCCGTGGCTACCGGAGCGGCCGGTCTATGGTCCAAGCCCAGCAAGAGAAGACCGTCTACGAACAGCACGGTGCTCACCACCGTCGGGCATACACGTACGGATGGCGCAGTTTCTCTCGCCGAGGTAACGACTATTGACGATCACGTTACCCGTAAACCAAACGACGACAACGACGACGACGGAAACGACGGTACCAAGGACGATCATCATAACAACAACGGCAACACGGGGCGCGACGGCAACGACGAGGATATCGCGTGCGGATACGGCGTTAACAACAACGACAACGAGCATGACGACGATAACGACGTGGACGGGGACGACGACGGAAACGAGGACGAGGACGGCGACGACGCGAATGACGACGATAATTTCAACAATTGCCACCACCGCTTCCACCAGCAGCGTCGCCACCGGCCAGACAAGGTCTCGCCCGCTAAGCGTAACGTTCTCTCACCCGCCGCCGCTGGTGGTTTGATCAGTGTTGGTAGCCTTGACCTGTTAACTAACCTCGCTACTAATCCTCATAACACCGAGCTGCTGATCAATAACAACGCTCAGGACAAGGTAACAGGAAGGCAGGAGGAGAACGGGATTACGACGAACGACGAGGTAACGCGCGGCATTGACGATGTCACGTCGATCGTGTTTCTACAACGCAATCGCGTCAGCGACATTCCTGAGGATGGCGAGGAAGAGAATAACGCATCCAATAGCATGGACGAAAACTGTTTCGGAGGAACGATCAACAACGTAGCTGGTAGACCTTCTGTCACGCATGGCGACGATCCTTCTATCCCTTCGACGTCGAGGAGAACAGATCAGCCCGGTCTCTTCTCGTGTGCTACAGGCAACAGTTTGACATCGTCACCGACGAATCCATCCACGGCACACCAGAGTATCTATCGCGGGATCAACGAGCAATACGTGAGTGCGCTTGTAAAGGAAGTAATATGCTCTGGCGCGGAGCAGCATAGACTACGTTTAATCCTTAATGTTTATTAATCGATTATTAACATAATCTTCATGATCCTTATGTCCACTGTTTTTTTCTATCAATGCAAATTAACTTTAATCTCGATTTATTTTATTTTTTATTCTAGTCCTAAGAAAGAGGTAAAGAGTAAATTAAACCGAGATTAAAGTTAATCTATTGGTAGAAACGGGCCTATAATTTTTCTTTCTTCAGTCATTCACCTTTGTAATTGTTCATAGTCAATGCTGTGCCGTGACTATGTTTTCAAAAGATGTTTTTAACCCGTAACAGATGGAACATATGAATTCTCGTGATCCTGGGACATTTTCCTAATTGTTAAATAATATGATTATTTGAAATAATTTTATGTGTTTCACGTCTTATTTTTCACAGTTTTATTTTATTCATGTAGGTTAATTATTATATTATACAGCATAGAAAGCTTGCAACAATATTGCAACGTTGTAATTGTTACTGTAATATTACTGGAATGATCTTACTGTATGAATATATTTATATAAGTTTAAATGTTGCAATTCTTAAAGAGAATAAGATTGATAACAAGAAACTTTAGTAGGTCCCAAGGATACTATGTTTCTTTAGTATCACAAAAAGTATGTGCTCCTGTTACGGGTTAAATCGACAAGCACGAATCTTTCGACGGTAGTACCAAAGATGTGAGTATAACGTATGTTGCGTGGATCAAAATACAATCGAATCACTGTCGAATATAAGTATAGACTCAACGACGCATATTCTTCTATATGAAATATGTATACCGCATATACATATGTGAGTTCATATATTTGCAGTTACAGTGACTGCGTTCCACAGAAAAGCAGCTGTTGAAATGTCTTCGATTGATTTTTTTCTTCAGTTTCTCATTTCTAAAAATAATTTATTTTTAATTTATTAAATTAATTCTAAAAAAATTTTCTATGAGACAAAAATAAATTTGTAAAGGACTTGCAATATTTAAACAAATAAAAAAACAAATTGAAGAGTAATTGAAGGTGTAAATTTGCGCATTTATTATCACGCCATTTACATCCTCAGTCGCCTTTCAATTTGTTTCTTTTTTTTTTAAAGGTATAAATCATATATTAAAGAACCTTTACAATAGTTGTAAAGTTGCTTTTTTTGTAAAACACAACTGATATTAGAATCGTATGAAAAAAGATCGTCACAAGAAGCATATAAGTTTTGGAAGTCTGATTCGTTGTGTGCTTACTCGATTATGGTGAGAGGAGAGTAATCTTCTAAAGGAAAGATTCTATGACAAAGATTTGTTCGTTTATTAATGCACAGATTCAATCATGCCTGAACGTACGTTAGGAGAGAGGAATTGTGCCGTTGCCACACGATTCGTTTACTTCCCCACCCGGTCTTGTTGCGAAATCTCTTTGCCCTCTCGCTGTCTCCAACTAGAGCCTCTTCGAAGTTACTGGTGTTTTATTAATAACTCAGAGCTCTTTCTCTCTCTCTTTCTCGAACTCTCCGGGAGATAGAGGCACATTGTCAGCGAATTCGTATTCACAGTATGCCGTGATAATTTACGGTAGCCGACCGAGTTTACATGCTTCTTCACGCGACAATTCTCCATCAGAAATGTATCGATTCGAACGAACAATCGCGATTGTAGTCTCCACGCTCCTTGGAAATTGTATCTATTCGAATGATCTCTAACAAGATGGAGTTGGCAAGTCACTTGAGTTCATCTCTGCACTTTGGAGGAAGGAATCGAAATTCCAAGTTCTCGCGTCATCTCCCAATCATAAAAGGCATGTTCCTGAGAATACATTTGCCGTCCGAAAATGATATCGCGAGATATCACGGCCGTTAAAGCGTTTATTGACACGTACAGTAACAAGCATGACGTATAGATAAATGACGTCTTTTTCACTCGGACGTGCATCGAACGAGCGACAGATTGTGCATAACGCACATAGAAGTTTTAATCCGGCGCCATATCGTTCGAGAATTCCTTCGAGATAGAAGTCACTGCGTGTAAACTGGCTCACGCTCAAGCGATAGGATGGGCCTTGTGGTGTTTGTGGACAGTAACAGCCTTCGTGCTCACTTATGCCTTCTTCCTCGGTATCGCGACACCTTTGTTATCTTCCAAACGTGTCTCTTCAAGAATCAGTTCGATACGCATTAATAACTCCACGATAATTCCTTCCGCCGTGCCACATGCCATTCGATCTTCGTTTGTACATTCACAGGTGAGTATTTACGCGATTGCGACTTCCCGACAGATTGCTGATTGTCGATCACAATCAATTTTGTCTTGGTGAATTCAGTTGCTTACACAAAAACAAATAATTTTATTGAAGTATGTAAAGATTTAGCTAAATACAGATCTGAAAATGATTTTGCTGGATAAATAATTATGTAAGAAGCTCAAATATATGAGCAATGGTGCAAAAAGTTTTTGTTTCAACAACCAACTTGAACATCCTACATAATTATTTTGCGTTCTGATTCTCACTCGAGTGCCACTCTGATATTATTTTATTCTTGTTATTCACAGAGTGTTAAATAAGAATAACATGATATTTAGGACATTCGGATGAGAGTCTAAATGTGCTGTTTGTAGTCCAACAAAATTATTTTCACATCTGTATCTAGCTAAATTTTTAGACATTTTAGCAAAATCGTAAATTAAGCACTACAACATTTTCTATTTGTCCTATGTCAATGTGTGTATTTTAATAAACGCCGCCTGATGGAAGCGTGTATATATTCACACGTGTGCCTAACAAGTATAGTGTTACTAAATCTAACGCGTTATCAGTTTGTATAAGTTGGTGTAACGCAAGTTGTTTGCTATCGCGAGATGCTTAAGCCTCCTTCTATCGAGCGATTTGCGATATTTTCGCCGATCAGGATGAATGAATGAATGTTCGGACACTGACGATTCAAGACGACAGTATTTGCAACTATATACGGACTCTATGCAACGTCATTTAATTAATAATAATTAATATTTGTGTAGAAAATTAATTTGTCCAATATCTTTCAGGAAGGAAGCCCGACTAACAGATCGGCACGTAGTCGTCTGCAAGCTCTTCGTGATGAACGATGTGGTCTAAACGGCTTACGGAATATTGGAAATACAGTAAGTACTTGATCTTTACAGCATCATGAAGTCACAGTCGTTTTTCTCATAGATTTTTATTATGTATAGCCCTACGTTAATGTACGCACGATTATTTTAGTGTTTCATGAACAGCGTGATTCAATGCTTGAGCAACACGAGGCCTCTGTTAGAATATCTACTAAACGAACAATATCTGGCCGATATAAATACGACGACGTCCAGCATGAAAGGCGCTTTGATCAAAGCGTTCAGTCAAGTGATTCACGAATTGTGGGAAGTAGGCGGTGATCATGTAGTGAACACGACCGCGCTTAAGTCTCAGATACAGAGATTCGCACCACGTTTCATGGGCTACAGTCAACAAGACGCTCAAGAGTTTCTCAGATATTTGCTAGAGGGTCTGCACGAAGATGTCAACAGAGTGACCACAAAGCTACCGCCCATACACGGAGACATACCTGATAGTTACACGTGAGGAAGTTATTTGCGAGATACACATGCGCGTTTAGTTTCCAATGTGTATACATAATACTTGACGTTATCACTTTATACAGGGATATGCAGAAAGCGGTGGAGAGTTGGAAACGATATCTACGCAGCGAAGATAGCACGATAGTCGACGTTTTCGTTGGACAGTTACGTTCATCTTTACGTTGCACTTCCTGCGATCACGTATCAGTCACCCTTGACCCATTCTGGGACCTAAGCTTGCCGATACCAGCCAGAAGCGGCACGGTAAAGCTGAGCCAATGCTTGGAGCATTTCACAAGAGAGGAAGTATTGGACGGCGACGAGAAACCAACATGTTCCAAATGTCAGATGAGAAGAAAGTGCACCAAGAGCTTCAGCATACAGAAATTCCCAAAAATTTTGGTTATTCGTATCCTTTTTTTCATCGTTTTAATGAATATTTATAGAATATTCATATTTAGAGAACATATTGTGGAACTGTTTGGAATAGATTCTGATCGGAACGTTTTTACATTACTATAAAATCAGCCAATTATTAGTATTTGTATATATTATTATTATAGATAGATATAGCTCGAATTGTAGGAAAAAATATTTTTCTTAATACTATCTACTAGATTTGAAACGTTTCTCTCCGATGGAGCGTTTTCGCGGCAAGCTGAACGTGATGGTGGACTTTCCCCTGACGGGTTTGGATCTCAGTGCCTTTGCCGCCCCGAGAGTTCCGGGCTGCACGTACAATCTGTACGGGGTCGCAAATCATTCTGGCACCACGTACTCCGGTCACTACACCGCGTACTGCAAGCACCCGTACTCGGGGGAATGGCATGAGTATAACGACAGCCGAGTGTCCGTCGTGTCATCACGATCGGTCGTTTCCAGTGAAGCCTACGTACTGTTTTACGAACAACAGCCTCACAGTTCTCACTTGTAACCTTACGCCATATTTAGAGAGTAAAACAACCATCTTGCCTCTCTCGATACCTCAGCTCAGCCTAGTAAAACTCTTGTCTTCTGACGTATTGAAAAGCGACTAAACACTGAAAGAAACGGAGGGACATCTCCTCCCGGACAAGTCCAACGTGACCTTATTGGCGATAATCGTGTCTCTTCCCGCAATACGTTTCTCGACGTAGTGTCGCATACGTGTAACGTCCTTTCATAAAAAAAAAGTATACGTAAATCGATATATAATTGATAATTCAATATAATTATAATATGTACACGTGCTTTTTAACGTGGAAAATTATTTCCGCGATCATGTTTGATCTATACGAAAATTATTTTTTTACGTAATGTTTTTTGCAAGACCTAATTTATACGTTGCGATCGTGTTTGAGATAAGGAAGACGATACTGTATTTATTCGTTACTTTAACCGCATGGGGAATGTTTCTATCTAAAAGAGAATACGAAGGTACGAGGGTCGCCAAAGATCACACATACACACACATACACGCAATGCTTCAGATGTCTAGTTACTTTTGAATAGACAAGTAGTGACACATCTCTCTGTCTCTTTTTCTCACTCTTCATTGAACACGTGGCGACATACAGCTATTTACTTTTGTAAAATATTTTGTTTAATATACAGGGTGTTTCCAAATTAAATCGCAAAACTTCGGGAGCGTGTAGAGGAGTAAAAAACTAAGAAAAAAAGTCCTATAGACATATGCTCGTTTTTGCTCCGTTTCAGAGAAATCGAAAAAAAATGTTTACATTTCTTGCCATATCTAGCACCGACATATTTGATTACATTTTCCACTTTCTGTTATGAATTTGTCAGTCGCTCTTTGAAAGCCTTTAATAGTAGATGAATTTTGTCTTTTAGATGAGAATACGCAAAAATGTCATCAAGAGAAAATTTAAAAACCTTCCCTTCCCAATTTTTTATCGTGCCACTTCTAGTGAAAATTTTCTCAGAATTTTTATACAAATTAGAACTCTTCCGAAATACTGAGAAAGTCCATCTCCTTTTTTTTTTAAATTTTTCATATATGTGATAAATTTTTAAATTTTCTATAATTTTCTCATTTTTTATAATTTCTGAAAAATATCTTAAACTTTTTCATATTTTATACAATTTCATTAAAAATTATAGAATGAAAAATTGTGGTACTAGAAATTAGTTTGATATCTCCAAGCTCAGATGGAGAAAGAATTGGCCAATCGCATTGATCATGTGATCGAATCGTTCAAATGTTACTTGTTAATTATTTGGCTGTCCAAAATTTCCCCAGTAAATACAAAGGGTGTTTTTTCGTTAGAGTGCCTCTACATAATTCATAGTTCGCAAATGCCAACGCAGAATGACGATCACCGCACGCAAAATACGCACAGATGAGACCGATCGCACACATGAAAAAAACAAATACAAAATTTTCATTCTGCGTTTGCATTTGTGAACTACGTAGAGGCACCTTTGTGCAACCAGAAGCAATCGCGACTAAGGCTATCTCCGTCTTCTGATCCCTGAAGACGAAGATAGCTCTAACCGCGGTCTCTTCTGGTTGGATAACGAAAATACGCCTCAAGTTTCACATAACGTATCTGTTGTGTGTGCTGTCATTTTCTATTCAACAATATAACTGTAATGTATAACCGTGTGTTATATAAAATTTTTATTGTTACGTAGAAAATTACAACTAACACGTAAGTTAGTGTAACTTGGTGTTTGCTGGGTCGGAGCGACTTCTAACACCGTGGACACAAAGTTTTATATTTCATAATTCTAGAAAAAAAATGTAAACTTTCTCGACTTCTGAAAAATGTTCCAGCTGATTTTAAAAAAACTGAAATTTTTTAAAAAGTTATAAAATTATTCGGAAATTCTTAAAAAATTCCAAGAAATTTAAAAAGTAAAAATTATTCAGAGAAATTCGGAAATTAATATAAAGAGTTCTGAAAAAACATTTAACATATTTTAAAAAATTAAAAAATTTCATAAAATCACGCCGTCGCTGTTCGATCGATTCACGGAACCAGGTTCCCGCGTAATCGTACAGATGGCAACCGATGCCTCGTCCGAGGCGCGCGTCATTCGTATACCCTTGCGGATTTCAGACTGCACGCGAATCAACGCGAATAGAAGCCTATGCACATGCACACGTACGCACCTATGTACGTACATACGCGAGGGGGGACATCCAGTCCCAACACAACTTCCGTTTCGTGTTCCCTTCGTCCTATTCGTCTCTTTCTCTCTTATTTTTACCCTCTCGCTCCGATCGTGGAGCTCGGAGCAACGCGGGCGAGTCGCGAATCGGCCTGCCGGCGAATTCGCGACGGCACACACGTGCACGCGTGCTCGCGCGCGCACGTACATAGACGTACACACGTGCGAATCGTGTCGGGGAACGGGTATACGAAACGGGAGGAGACGGGAGAGCCGGTCGGCCAGCGAAGCCGAGTCGGTCGGAGTCGGCCGGAGTCGACGTGCCGCCACCGCCGCCGACGTCGCCGTCGTTTCGTGCGTCTCGGTTTCGCATCTCGCGCCACAATATTCACGTCGAGCGTCTCCACTCCGCGCGACGACCGCCCGCGGAAGAAACGTCGTCGCGTCCGACCGATCGACAGTTTCGCGTCGTGTGTCCGGCAATTCCGTGCGACTCGCGTGTTACGCGCCGCCGGAAATCCCGAGTGACAACGCGGAGGAACGCCGGGGGTTCGTGGAAAAAAAAAAAGAATCCGTCGGACGAACGAGAGGAGGCCGCTGTGCGCGACTACTTTTCCCGGACGCTGCGTCGCGCGCGTTTCTCTCCTCTCTCTCTCTCTCTTTCTCTCCCTCTCCCCTTTCTCTTCCTCCTCCTCCTCCTCCACGTCGTCTTTCTCTTTCTTCTCCCTCGTTCTTTGCCCGACGTCTCCGTTCAACCCGCTCCGCGATCTCGTCCATTGCTCCGAACTCTCCTTCCCTCCCTCCCTCCTTCTGTCTATCCCTCCCTCCGTCTCTCTCTTTCTCTCTCTTTCTCTCTCGCTCGCTCGCTCGCTCGCTCTCTCTGTTGCCGAGCGCGAGACTCGCGGTAGACCGGAAATCGCGTACGGCCGCACGGCCTGTCATCTTCGACCGGCGGACTGATTACGTGTGCCGTCGTCTCGTCGTCGCCGTTGTCAAGCGCGCGAATCGGTTAGTGGTTCGGTCGTTTCGCGATACGTTACTGGCCCCCGGCGGTCTGACACGGAGGAACGAGAGAAAGCCTCGTCGGGTGTGCGTGAGGGCAGTGATCTCTCTCGGAGAGCGGCGACCTGACGACGGTACGAGCGGAACCGACGGTGCCCGATAGAATATATATATATATATATATCTCCACATATATTTATATATATATGTATATACGTTATGTGTCGACGTCGCACTCTCTTCCCCTGGCCTGCACTGCCCACTGGACTGCCCGTGGCGGATTTGCCCTGCGGATTCCGAGCGACGTGTCCCACCGTCGAGACGAAACGTCCCGGAGGATCGTGGACGCGAGTCGAGGTAAAAGAAATTCTGTCTACGAAACCCATAGTCTGTCGGATGAGTGACGCCGCGCGTCGCGGCGCCGATCGCATGAAAATGTATTATCGAAATTCAAAAGTGATCGGTAAAATTGCCGGGTGGCCAGGTAGACACGGGATCACAGGGTAGAACGCGAGGGAGTCTCGGAGATTCGGGATTCTGTCTTAAATCCTGTTAAGCCTGTGGTTTAAGTTACCGATTTCGTTAATTCGACCCTCGAGTCTCGACGGCGAGATTTCCCTGGCTTACGCTAATTCGAATTAATCGCACACTCTCTGTATTATATTCTGAAAGCCTATCTAAAAACCGCGAAGCGAAGAGGAGAGTGGATGTATTTATTCCTAGACACTTGGAGAGGTGCAGTCTTAAATCTTATTTTAGGAGATTGGAGAAAAATATTCCGATAGAGAGTAACTATTCAAGCTCGTCTTGTTAGCGTAGAATATTGTCGTCTAAAGTCTATTTAAAACTAAAGAAAGAGTATAAGTCTTAGACTTAGGCTAACTAGATTTGAAGAGTATAAGTTTTAGACTTAGGCTAACTAGATCGTAAACGATCACGCTGCCAATGTTAGCCGAAGTGCTACTTCACTTTTCTTCCGAATCCTCTTATATTCATTTTTTTTTTATCAATGTGGATTTAATCTCGATTTAACTTTTCATTTTCTTTATTTTCTAATATTTATTTCTGCCAATGTAAATTAAGTTTAATCTCCGTTTAATTTTTCATTTTCTTCTAATTCTAATGTCCATTTCTATCAGATTAAGTTTAGTCTCCATTAATTTACTGTTTACCCTTTCCTAGTTCCAAGAATCAGAAAAAAATAAAGAGTAAATTAATCCGGGATTAAAATTAAATTATATTCGTGGAAGTGGACATAAAAATTAGAAAAAAATAGAGTAAATTAAATTGAGATTTAAATTAATCTTTCACTGCCACTCTATATACCGTTTTATCTTACGATATTTATTATGAAAAATGTCGTATAAAAATGATCATATTGGACACTGAAAAAAAATTATTTATTTGTTTAAATTTATTTAATTTATTTACTTCGGAGAATGTATTCGAGTAAAATATAAAATAGAATTTATCCTCTTTAACATTTTTTTTTACTAAGTCAACAAGGGGATTTCATTACAAACATTGTTCCTACCTCATTCATCCGTCCTTACCTTTTTCACGTTCTCCTTTCTTAATATTTAAGTCAAATATAATGTGTTTGACTTAAACATTGTTCATAAAAAAAAAAGTAAAGACGAATTAGATTAATTTAGTCAAATGAAATTTGAACTTTTTTTTCTCAGTGTAATAATTTTTTTTCAATCGAAACGTCCGACATTAAGAAATATAACAGTAAAAATTAAATGTATGTATCTTTATTAATAAAAAAAATTACAGCACACACAGCAAAGGACTTTCTTTTGGTATGCTACCCTAGAAGTGGCATGGAGTTAATCTATATTGGTAGAAATACCTCGAATCTCGGTTCACTTCGACAAGCGATTTGAAGTTCGCACTGTCAGCGTTAATCGGTAGTTCCCGAATTAATCCGACTACATTCCGCGGGGTGGAGTCCTGGCAGTCGCATGAGAAGAATGTTAGTCAATCCGTTCCCCAGTTTCTATTGTAAACAACTCACGTGAGTTTATAGAGGAAAGAATAATCGCGTTAATTGATACGTAAAATTCATTTGCAGCTTGTAACAGTTTTGCGCGGACTCCGTTCCGTTGTAATCTCGATCAACTGCCAATAAATCCCTTATCTAATTTCTTCTTTATCATCTCGATCGCCGACATCGAACGCCACTCGCGTTTCATCGCGCTGCCAAGCTCTCGTCGTCTCTTTGGGCGGAGCCTGCGAATCCACGGGGAACTTTTCTTCCGGGAACTTTCGACGGAAAGAAGAACCCCTCTTCC